GAGCCCTAAAGACCTATCTGTTCCAAGAGGCCGGTCTGGCATAAATCTGAAACTCTACAATTTTAAATTGGGTATAATTTTATATTATTATAGTGGGTTTTAGGACAGGACAAATAATTTAATTAGTTTTAAATATTTTAAATATTATGGTATTGCTGTTTTATTAATGTGCCTGTTCACCACCCTGAGTCCCGCAAGGGAGAAGGGAGGTATATAAATCAAATAAATTTGAATTTAAATTTGAATTTGCCTGAATCCCTTGCTCTTTCCCTCAATTCTCCCTCTTCTTAGAAAGGAGAAGAAAAATGTTATTACTGTAACCTTATAATAAAAAATAGTACTAACATTCATAATTTTAGTTTCCTGGTCTGAATTACCTTGAAGGGCTGACATCAATCTTGCAAATCTGAATGTGCCTCACTGACTTTTCATAGGCAAAAGGATTGGTAAGTGCCAAGCCTGAGATATTTTTCAAATTGCATTACTGCTTTGGATTCAGATTTCTGTTATCTGATCATTATCTTGATTGCCCCTCTTCTGTTCTTCAAGATTTTTCATTTATAGAAAGAGATTGAGAAATGACTCGGTATTAATTTACGTGGCTGAGTTGGGATAGTTTAATTATTAAGTCAAGTAGCTTGCATGAGTGTAGAATTTGTTAGACAGTTAAGAGGACCAGTTCATCATGAGCATCACTGAAAAGTCATATTAATTACTGTTTTAACCCAATAAAAAAAGTTTTTTTTCCAAATAGTTTGGGTGTATGTCTGGCGGCAGGGGGAGGGGTTGAAGTGTCAGTCTCACATTTGTGATAAGAACTGTAGAAGAGATGAACAGCCCAATCAATCAATAAAATCTTTTGTTGAAAGAAAAGTCTTCATCAGGGTCCAGTCCAAGCTGGGAATAAACAAAATGGAGACTGCTTTAGAAAGAAGATTGTAGCTTATTGAAGAGCAAAGCCAGACAGAAGCATGGCTCTGGGAAAGCTCCCATGTTGCTGGGAGTGGTGGGTTTTTATACCTTCCTGGGCTTTTGTGTTTGGAGTTGTTCCTGTTTGAGGCTTTGTATTTCCTGTGTCATGTATTTCCTGAGTGTGCCTTTCTGGTATTCTGATGGTGGTGGGTTAATTCTATTATGTTCTAAAGATGATATCCTGCTTCTCTGGGGCTGTGGCTGATGGCTATGTCCTGTGTTGGATTTTTTGGGGTGAGGGGTTGTTGATTCTAGGGATCTTTGTCTTTTTAATCCCATCAGCTCAGCTTCCTGGCTCCAACCTTCCTGAATGGATTATTATATCTGCATTTCTACAGAGCTGGTTTCTGCTTGGGGGTGGGAGACTTGGGGCTATTAAGAAAAACTGGGCATGCTTTTCTGCCTTTTTAAGATTCTTTGAGGAAATATAATATTCTGCCTTTTTAAAATTTCCTTCTCTGGGGGGGGCTGACTTCCCACACTTTCAAACACAAAGGCCTAGGGATAGGTTATGCCAATACTTGCTAGGATGTTAAAAAGCATTGATGATTTTAAGAACAGTGCAACTGTTAGAGATTGCTCATCTGGTGAATTTAACCCTATGTAATGTCTAAACAGTGCTTCTTTTGTGATTTCAGACAATTTCAGAGAATTCAGAGAATGCAATTTTACAGAATTGTAAATCAGTAAATATAAGAGCATAAATGAATGTGTTGACTTCTTGTCACATACTTTCTCAGTAACTAGGTTGTTTATCTGCTGGTTTCTCCCAGATACTGATAATAAATGGTTGTGACTTTAGGACAGTGGTCGCGAACCTATGGCACAGGTGCCAGAGGTGGCACTCAGAGCCCTCTCTGTGAGCACACATGCCGTCGCCCCAGTCCTAGGCCTTCAGCTGGGTTTTATAAAACCTTTTCGCTTTAGGCCTCCACCGCCGTGTGCAAAAAAAAAAAGGTTCAATCAGTCAATTTCAACTTCTCGCAGGAAAAAAAAAGATCTTGCAAAGTTGGAATTGATTGATTGAACTTTTTAGTCCCACTCAGTCTGCGTTACCATCGCAGCCATGCCCACCCAATGGGCCACGCCCACCCAATGGGCCACACCCACCCGGCACTCGACGATGCATAAGTGGGTTTTGGGTTGCAGTTTGGGCACTCGTTCTCTAAAAGGTTCACCATCACTGCTTTAGGAGATGCTTCAGGGGCTCTTTTGTATTTTGAGCAAGTAGCAAATATTATAGCTTCTCTCTTTTGCCTTGCCTTTCCTTATTATCTTTTCTTCTCCTTTCTTTCCCTTCCTTCTCTTTCTCTCATCTCATCTCTATCCAGTTGTATCTTCTTTCTTTTCCATTTTTTACTTTTCTTCTCAGTGCAGCTACCTCTTGTCCTTACTCCAATTCCATTGTTATAATTGGTTGCACAATCACTCAGCTATTCAGACTGGATTTGGCATTTTTATTTTCTCACTGAGTCAGAATGCAGAATGGCCTATTTGGATCCAGTTTCAGGCATTGTATTTGGAAAAGGACATGAATAAACAGAAGTGTGTCCCAAGAAAAGTAATCAATTTTGAGCAGCCTGGATGAAAAGCCTATGTGGAATGATTACAGGCATGGTATGTTTTACCTAGAGAAAATAGACACGTGATCCCTTTCTTCAAGTATCTGCAGGAGCTAGGGGCAGCATCTTTCAGAGTGTTTCCAGAAAGGACAAGAAAAAGAGGTTTAAACTACAAGAAAGTAGAGATCAATTGACATTAGGAAAAAATAAATTTCTAATGGTAAGAGGAACAGATTGTTGTGGAGTAGTAAAATCCTTCTCTGGATGTGTTTAAAGAGTGGCTGGAATTATGATGTAGCTTTGGAGACAGTAAAATATAAGTCCATTTATAACCACTATCAAAAAGATTGAAGCCTTTTCTTTTTCTATTTTTTTCTTACTTATTCTATATTCCTCCTTATTTTCCTTAGTTTTTTTCTCTAATACGTGTATTGTTTTATTTAGTTAAAACTTCTTCAATAAAAATATATTTTAAAAAAATAGAGAGGCCACATGGGCCACATGATCTCCCTGAACATTTCCATTTTATGATTTTATTAAATAGATGAGAAATAATCTTGTTGGGTATTGGATTAGTCTAATTCAATTCAGATAAAAGGCAGGTTTCATATATATCATATTGACCTCTTTGCCCTGGGTATACCCACTCAAATTTCAAGAGTGGCCCTCTTTCTCAAAACAGTGATGATTCCCTCTTGTGTTCAACATTCTTCCCAACTGGGGACAATGTATTTGAATTTTCAAATCTAATTACTGCATTATTGTAATGCTTGAATCAATAAAGTCTTATCTCTTGTGCTAAGAGTCCACAGTCTGTTGCAGATTAATTTGTGAATTTTACAAATTGTTCAAGCCTGACATAAGTTCTTTATAATAATTAGATAAATATGAATAGGTGGAACAATGATTGCTTCCAAATAAGGATATGAAATTTGCCGTTCTATTGAAGCCAAAATTAGTACTCACGTAGACATGACTCAATAGGGAGTACTTAAGCTGGATATCCATGGAACTATATCGTTGAGTTATACAAATCTTTAATACTTTCATGTAGAAATGGAGATTCCAACTATATGTTATACAATAGTTACTATACTTCTCCTTTTATTCTTTTTTTCCCTTTTTAGGCTAAAAGAAAGTTAATAAATTTTCATTATAAATTTTGATCATAATTGTATGTTAACAACACACCTTTGCAGATCAGAAGCTCTTTTTCTTTCTCAGCTGAAGTGCTGTGAAAATAGGAACTCTGAAAAGAGGAAATGTGTATTCTTGATGAAGCAATTATAGATATCACAATTTCTTGAAATGTTCTTTTCCTGTCATATTCTGATTTTTTTTCTTTTTGCACAGTGAGACCTTCCCTGATAAAGAATTTTGCCTGTGATTAATATTTATATGTTACTTATATGTAAGGGTGTAGGTCTATACATATGTTGTATATAGTATGTCTAAATGTGTGTTATGCATGTGTACACTTTGAGAGCAAGCAACTAAATTTCATTTTTAATGTGTACCATTGTGCTCACAGTAAAAAATGACAATAAATGTTATCTATCTATCTATCTATCTATCTATCTATCTATCTATCTATCTATCTATCTATCTCATTTTTTTTTTAAAAGTAAATAATGTTGTAATGGGTCACTAAAAACATTTAAACTTTTGTGACCTCCACATTTTGTCATTAGGAAGTTCTTCTCTTGCTTATGAATTAAATATCAGAGAATGTTAATTCTATATCAGCTGTCAGTATGGTCCTCTTACTCCAGAAGGAGTGTGTTGCCATATTGCTAGTTAAGAAGCCGACTGTTCCAGTGCAGGCCTGAAGGACATCAGTAAATTGCTATTTGATGTACTATGAATAATTGCAATGGACTATGAAAGGATCCAGGCAATTTTTAGCCTATTGTCATGACTTTTTTAATAGTTGTATGCACCTAAAAACATATATACTGTACATACATATGTATCTAATATACATATAGCATACATATACACACATACACATACACATACACATATAACACCCTATTGGTGGTATGTGTCTTCCTCAGTCTTGAGTCATTTACATACATCTCCATATTCCACAAAAAAACAAACAAAAGAATTCAACCCTAACCTTAATCAACTTCCCTTTTTTAAAAACCGGAACTTACTGATGTCAGAGTGATTCTGAGAACAAGAATCTATATTCTCTACAACTGTGTTTTTACAATTTCCCTCAAACAACATTTTCCTTGAGGCCCGATAAGATAATGAGGTAAGGAAAACTCTCCATCCAGAAGATAGTTAGATGACAACAGATAAGTAGATAATAGAGGTAAGTTTATATCAAACTATCATTTTGCTTAATTGTAAGCCTAATAGTTGGACTGTCTTCATGATCTAAAGCTTCACTACTACATTTTCTTGCCCTTCACTAGCATGGCAATGGACAGTTATCATACCTCAACCAATTATAGTTCCCAGTCTCTTATCATCTAAAATAATCTGGGATTTGCATATTTCCCAAATTAGTCTCATTATAATAGACACATTCTTCTATCTTTCTGTCAGTCTAAATGGCCCTGACATTCTTTTCTCCATCAGTTGAAAAATTGTTCTCCCTAAAACAGACTCCTCTATCTTTCCTCTTGACTTCAAAGGCTATCATATTATAAATGTTACTTTCTGCATATTTTTATCTTTTTAATTTTTTATATATGCATGAGATACCTATGTACAGTATGACTGCATGTATATGACTGGATATTTTATTATTTAATATATTTATATATACTTTATTCAAAAGAAACCATAACAGGAAGTTATGAGTATCATTTGACTGTTGCCTTAGTATAATTATTTTCAAATATTAGATGGTAACTAGAAAATCTTTCCATTTATTATTATACATATTATAATTATTATTTGCTAGATTAGTCAGAATTAAGAAATGGGGTGATACTTTTGAGTTTATGAATTTTCTGCAGAATATATTTATACTGTATATATGTTGCAAAATACGTTTGGTAATGCAAGGGGGTTTAAAGTATGTATTCTATTAAGATATCCTTTGCTGTCACTGCTCATGTAAAATCTCATGCCTTTTTTCTTTAAAGTAAACTCTTTGAACGAACTATGGTTTAATTTGCAATCCTATAGTCCTATACTTGTGAATAGCCTTATTGAATGTAGAGATTTATTCAACCCTTGAGACTTATTCAGATACATACTGAATATTATTGTGGGATAGCCTACCTATTTGAAGGATTATGCAGCTAAGGATACCCTCTTTTTTCTTATGGAATTATGAGCAACATACAACATTAAAGGTCCAGAAATCAAAAGTAGCATTTCTTCAAGTCAGCTATTATCAAAACGTTATTTTTTTATGTTCTTTTTTTTGGGGGGGGAATAAATTATAAATTGGTTTGGAGGTAGTTACATCACATTTTGTCACACTATAAAGTAGTGAGGTCATAAATTTATTTTAGCTGCTGATATAATTAAAACTATTTCATTATCTAAAACCTTGAAAAGTATTATGATCTGTTGTCCACCATAGAAATCTCCACTTGGACTGATTAAAACATTGCATGTTTTAGGCAATATTTAACAAGATAATTAAACAATGTATAGACTTTGATATTTACAAATAAGCAGCTAATTTCTTTCATTCTATAATTCTTTCCTGCATATACAGAAAATAAAATGGAAACCATTCTAGGATTTAGTCACATGAGCTGGCTCGTTGTGTTATGCTCTACATTACATGTTGCTTTTCAAAAGGAGAAAGGTAAGTATGTTCTTTCAAGATGATTTTCAAGTTATTTTACGTTGCAACTTTATTCCAAAAAAGAGGGGGCAGGATTGCTAACCATTTTTCTTTTTTAAAATATTATTTGTTTTATCATAAAAAGTAAAACAGAAAACAGAAAAACAAACAAAACAAAAGCCTACATTCAACACTAGCAACAACAAAAAAGAAAAACAATAGTGTACAAAAATTGATCAAATAAATCAGTCAACTGGTTAAGCTAAACATTATACTAATCTTCAAATCCCTCTGTTAACCATCTGTTATTGTATTTAGCATGTAGAAAGTCCACAAATGGTTTTCTGTCTCTTATAAAGCTGTCTAGTCCATTATCACTAATCAAAGCAATTAATTTTGCCATCTCTTCTAATTCAGTCAACTTCAAAATGCATTCTTCAACAGTCAGCATCCCTTTTTCTTTCCCATGTTTGGCAAGTACAATTATCGCAGCCATTACCATGTGAAGCAGGGATCCTCAAACTACGGCCCACAGGCCGCATGAGGTCCATCTTGTCTTTTTATCCAGCCCGCCTCAACCTCCCAGGCAAACCATCCAATCACAAGGAGAGGGTGGGTGGGTGGATGGTGGCAAGAACCCCAGCCAATGGTGGGACAGCGAGTTGGTGGGAGATGTTTTTTCCCAGTTTCTCCCTTGTGCACCAGAGCGCGCGCTCATGCTTTGGCCACACCACCTTCCTCTCCTCCTCTTGTCTCTTTGCATTTTTACCTCAGGGCCGGGCTGAGTGGTTTAGGCCTTGCTTACAGCCTCGGCCTCGCTTAGGGCAGTCAAACTGGGCAATGACAACGTCACTGCTGCTGCTTCTGAGGCGGGTCCCTCTCTAGGCGCTACAGAATGCGAGCCCCAGCCTCCACTGCTGCTGTCGCCACCATGCCAGCCAAGAGGAAACTGGTGTCGCTGGCCCTCAACATCACCCCACCATCACTGAGGGACCCAGCCCCACTGGAGGTGGCGAGTGCAATGGCTCCAAGTGAGTGGGCTTGACCCCAGTGAGGGTCAGAGTGGGGCTTCTGGATTGGGGTACCGGTTATGGGTCTGAAGGGAGCGGCTGAAGGGCAAGGTATTTGTGAGGAGCGACCAGGGTGAGCAAGAAAAAAGGAGGAGAATTTGCTCCTGGAAGGTTATTTCGAGGTTGGGAGGGGTTGTGTTGAGCTGAGGTGATGAAAGGTCGGTGGAGTTGCTGGGAGGGAGGACGTGGTCAGCCTTTGGAGGAGCATCCTGATCCACAAAGGGGTGGTGGTGCCGCATCCAGGTGAAGCCCCGAGAGCTAGGAAAAGCCGGAGGCGGTGGAGCAGCTCGGAGGAACCGGGGGTGCTGATGCTGTTGGTTGAGAGAAACTTCATTGGCCTTCAGGGTCCAGGAAAAGGTGGAGGAAGGATGGGGGCATTGCCATGCGCCCCATGGGAAAGAGGAATGAGATCCTGCCAGGCAGGTTCTTCTGCCCTTAGACGGTCTAGTATGCCAATCAAGGAGAATATTTCTGGCTCAGGGTTAAAATGAAGGGTCCTTGGGGGCAGGTCTCTGAGGATGGTGGTTTTCTTGCAGACATTTCAGGACCCAAAATGGGATAAGTGAACTGATGATGTTACCTAGTTTGGGTCATGAGATGTCTACAATAAAGCCATGAAGCTCAGAGAGGACCAAGGAACCCACAACTGCCCTTCTCCTCTTCTCTTCTTCTCCTCCACTCCACAAACCCCCTCTCTTCTGGCACTGCTGATGTTATGAGGGAGAGCCTTTGCTCAAGGGAGACCACTGTGCCTCAGATAGACGGTGTGGAGTCCCTCCTTGTGAAATGGGGG